TGGGGAAACTGAGCCTGCATCGCGGCCAGGCCCTGGCTCCCACTTCCTGTTCTGCCCGCTTGTGAGCTGCTCCCCCTGTCTCCATCCTGAGTCCTCACAGGGAGACCCAGCCAGCAGCTCCTGCTCAAACATCCTGGAAGACACTTCCCCTCACCTGTTGGCGAGCTCAAGACTGCCTGTTGGAGAGCTCAGGACGAGGGGACAGAGTGGGTAAACTGAGGCCCACGAACAAAGTAGGACCTGTGGATCTCCCGAGTTAATATCCAGGCCTCTGAGGTTGCACAGACGTGAGTTCAAATCTAGACTCAGTCTCTGCTTTGTCTGCTTTGATTTTGAGCATTTGACTCTCCCCCCAGACTCAGTTTCCCCACCTGAAAGATGGGGCTGTTAAGCGCGGGCACCTTGTGGGGCTTGGCACAGCAAAGATCTTGCAGTACTCGAAGGATTCATGTTTCCTGTTGGGGGATGGAAAAGGACAGCAGGAGTGAAGTGCATGAGACTGAAAGAGGGTTGGTTCCGCGAAGTGGGCAGATTTGATACAATAAGGACAGGAGAAGGGGCTGCAGGGGATGATGGGGCCAGAGCCAGACCACCCAGGGTTTCATCCCAGACTGAACTGAAGGCTAGGACTTTGTGCAGGGGCACAGGGGAGCCATGGGAGGCCTGTGAGCAGGGGAGGGGCAGGCCAGCTCTGGAGCCATGTGGTGGCTGGACTGGAAAGGGAGACTGGAGGCTGGGAGGCCAGGGAGGAGGCTGGGGTGAGTCCACAGGTGAGATGGAGGCCTGAGCTGGGCTGGGGCACTGATGACAGAGCAGAGGGAACAGGGTGGCGAGAATCAGAATGAGGCTGTGAGTGTTTAGGGGAAAAAAAGGGGAGTGGACAGCGTCCCAGGTCTGGGTGGGCGGTAAGGCTGACCCTGAGATGGGGGGCTTGGGGAAGTTTGGGGAGACGGTGTGGAACGTGCTAACATGGACACCTGTGGGTTCCGACAGCACCATGCAGCCCATGGAGGACCCTTCAGAGACTCGGCAGCCAGCACCCGCTGGAGCCCTGTTCCCGCCGGAGGCTGTCCTCTTCTTCTTCTATTCTCTGGTTGCTCTTGCCTCCTACCTGCTGGAGGTGGCCAGCCACAGCCTGGTGATCCGAGCAGCAGGGCCCCTCCTGCCTCCCCCGCTGTCAGCCGCCTGGTTCGGCCACCAGGCTGCAACCGATGTCGTCTTCACTGTCCTCCTGCCACTGACCCTTACCTGGACACGCTCCAGCTGGCCCCTGGGTGGCACCTTTTGTCCCCTGGACCCTGGCCTCACCTTCCTGACCTTCTACGCCAGTGGCCGCCTGCTGACCCGCACAGCTGCTGACCACTGCGCCTCCGTGCTCTGGCCAGCCTGGGCGCTGAACCACCGCGCAGCCCGAAGGGTGGTTTTCTGGGCCGGCGGGTTCTGGCTCCTGGCGTTGGTCCTGGGCACACCGGCCCTCCAAGCCCTGGCGAACAGGGCTGAGCCTTATAACAGGACGCCTACCAGGGAGCCGCCCCACTGCTTCTCTGATCCTACACTGAATCAGCTGGTGTTTGGCTTTGGGGTGCCTCTGGGGGTGCTGAGTGCCTTTCACAGCCTCCTGAAGGCCAAGCTGCAGCTGGCAAGGCTCACGGGGAGGCCCCCGCTGCTGGGGATGCCCTGGGCCTTGGGGACCATGTTGTTTCTCTGCTGGTTCCCCTTTCACCTGCTACTTCTGCTGAGGCTGGTGGGAATGTGGGAGGCCGGGATGGACATGAAGGAGGTTTGGGTGCTGCTCAGACCCCTGGCGCTCACCCTGGTGGGGGCCAGCGGCTGCCTCAACCCTCTGCTCTACGCACGTGGGGATCAGGCCTTCAGGCGGCAGCTATGCCAGGCCCTCTGGTCCTGCCCAGGGGGAGGGTTTGAGGAAGAGGCAGGTGGGGTTGGGCACTGGGGATGGAGGCCCAGCCTTCCTTCAAGGACCTGAAGGGGCATTCCTAGAGAACTGGGGACAGTGAGGGGGAGGGGGAAGGGAAGAGGTGGGGCTTGCCATCTCTTCAAACTCCAGAATGTGATACACTGAGACATGGTGGGCAGAATGGGGGGGAATCACAGAAAGAGAGGTGGAGAGAGAGGGCAGAGACCCAGAGAGAGGGGGACAGGGATCCACAGAGAAAGCAGGCGACTGCAAGACGAGATGCTCAGAGGGAGAAATGGGTGCCATCCAGACACCACAGGATGGCATAGGCACAGCGGCAGATGGGGGGCCAAGGCAGGGAGAGGAGGCGAGAGACAGGTCAGGCTGCTGGGAGGGCCCAAGTGGGAGACGAGACAGAAAAAGATATGGAGTCGAAGACCCAGTGAGAGACAGAAACACAGAGAGCTCTAGGGAAAGATGGAAATAGAACTGGCATCAGACTGAAGAAGGGAATGAGTGGGGAGAGAGACAGTCAAACAAAAAGGCAGAGAGAGACAGAGACATGGGCCTGGATCTAAAGACAGGACTATAGATGGGATAGGGATTTGGAACTCGGATGACTTCCCAACTCGGTATTCCTGGGACTGAGCAATTCCCGGGACATGGGGCTTTCAGGGCTAAAACCGGGAATGTCCCATACACACAGGGACACGTTGGTCCCTCAGGTGAAACGGGTAACACAGGACAGCGCTGAGTCGCCAGATTTCCTGGGTCCTCAGGGCTGTAGTTATTTATCATTCTTCACTTGCTGTATTTGAAATACACGGGGGGGGGGGGGGGGGGGGGAGCACTCACAACAGAGACATCTGCTAATCTTCCCTCCTGTGTCCCCACCCTGGGAACCATGTTGCTTGCCAGTCTTTCGAGTTCAAACTCCCAACTGTTTCCAAACTAAACATTAATTTTTGCTTCACACGGAGTCTTATGTATGTGGCCACAAGGCTACCTCAGAAATGCACTGAGCTCCAGGGGGAAAAATCTATCTCTTTCTGTCTTTGGAAAATTCATTACAGTGATGTCTCTTGACCCCGTCTGTACATTAGAAGAGCCGGGGGAGCTTTTAAAATCCAATCAATGTCCAGGCCCCATCCCCAGGCGTTGTGGTTTAAGTGGGCCACGGTGGAGTTGGGCTTGGGAGTTTCAAAAGCTCCCCAGAGAAACCCACGTGTCGCTGGGCTGAGCCCCATCCATCTCCAAGTGCCTGTGGTTGTGAAAATGCAACCCTGATTGTTCCCAGGGGACTGAATAACCCAGCACTAAGTGGCTGAAAATCCTGGGGGATGCAAAGACCAACTTCTTTGTCAATAAATGGCTTGTTTTACAAACATCGAGAGCTAAGATGTACACTGGGGGTCCGGCAGTAGTCAGATCCTACTCTAGGTGCATGCCCCACCCTCAAGATCCCAGTTACAGCTACCAAGGCTGGAAGAAGGAAGCGGGACAGGGGAGGGGGGGGAGGAGGGAAGGCAGACCCACTCACTCTGATAGAAAGGGATTTCCAGGAAGCCTTTCAAAAGGGCTGACAAAACAGAGGTGGGGAAGGGCTCTCCAGGCAGAGGGCACAACATATGCAAAGGTACTGGGGCATGGCTTTTTCCACCTCCTGCCCCCATCTCTGAGTTATATGTGGTTAAGGATATGCTGGGGGTGGGGGTGGGGGAGGAAGGCGGGGTTAAGAGGTGGGTGAAATTAAAAAAAAAAAAAAAAGACTGAAAGGAACCAGACTACACGGCCTCTAATGTCAGGCTGAGGGACTCGGACTCTCATCAAAGAAGGGCTGGGGAGCAAGGGAGGTCTTTGAGTAGGGAGGGAGCGGGTCAATTTTGGGTGTAGAAAGACCCTCGTACGGGCTGGAAGAGAGATAGGGGGTTGCGCGGGTCTAAAGAGAGAGGAGGCTCAGGCAGAGAGGCCGGAAAAAGCAGCAAAGACTCCCTCCCTCCCCTGTTCTCAGAATTATGGTTTTTCGGAAATCCACTTCCCTCTTTGTGCTGGGTAATTTCTGGCTGGGAAAATAGACCAACACCGCCCCGGTGTGGTGTTTTAGAGTATTGCAACCAAGCACTCTTAAAAGTAAGGCGATCCTTCAAATCAGAACACTTGAGAATTAAAGAGGGCGCGATTACCAATTATGCCACAATTGGCCCAAACTTTTTGTAATCCCTGAGCCAAAATTATAGTGAGATTATGATTCCGTTCCTAATTAGAATTTTCTAGGTCTTTCCTGGGAAACCCAGGATGTTTGGTCACCCTATTCGGAAGCTGCCTTATCAGATCTTGAGCTGAAATGAAATTATTTCTTATCAGATGAGAAAGTGGCTGAAGCTCAACCAAAGGCTAAGGCTGTCACCCAGGGCATTCCACCTGCTGGGGGATGGAGTAGGGAGCGGGGAGGAGGCGGTTAGTAAGGGAGCTGGTAACAGACTTTCTGTCTAGGGGTGTGGACACCTATAGGAAGGGGAATTGACAGTAGGTATTGATGGTTGAATAGGAGTTTGCTAAGAAAAGAAAAAGATGTGTTGATACAATATAATGAGAAAAGATGATAACTACAGACCCTTTTCAGCTTGCAAATTCTATTCTTGTCTTTGATCCCAAGCCATCCTTGCTGTGGTTTTCTGGGGCCCATTGGACAAAAATTTTTATCTTTGTCTGACTGATAAGAAAACCAGGGCTCAGAGAGAAGGAATGAATCTGATGTATATAGCAGTCTGTGTTGGCACCAAGTGGTGAATCAACCCTGCTTTCTCTCTCCTCTGTGCTCTTGCATCCAAAATTGGAATACCCTCCTACCTCTCTAAATACTCCTGACAGGCTCCTATTCATCCCTCAAAACCCAGCTCAGGTTCTGTGCCCCTCACCTCAAACCTGGGAGTCTGGACCCTCAGCCCCCTCCTCCCTCAGACCCAGGAGTCTAGGACCCCAGCCCACTCCTCCCTTAGGCCCAGGAATCCAGGCCCCAAGCTTCCTCCTCCCTCAGACCTAGAAGCCCAGGCCTCAGTCCTTCCTCCCTCAGACCCAGGAGCCCAGGCCCTCAGCCCCCTCCTCCCTCAGGCCCAGACGTCAGGCCCTCCTCCTTCTGACAGAGGCCTGACCCTCAAACAGAGTGGCCAGGGTGGAGGGATGGAGCAGAATGTGCTGATTCTGTCACATTTATTTGGTCTCAGGCCAGAGTCATGGCTGGGGCAGAGGCAAGGCCTCTTGGATTAGGCTGTCCTGTGTCTTCTCATTGCTGAGCCTAGGAGAGGAAGAGAGACAGTGATGCACAGATACATGGAACAGAAAGAGAGGTCAAGATAGTAAAATGGCCACCAAAGAGTCAGAGCTCCCGCCCGCCACCTCCACCCTCTTTCCGCTCACCTTGTTGAAGAAGTAGATGGAGGCGAGGATGGTGAACGCGGCTATGGCCAGGGTTACATTCTGGGGGAAGATAGTCAGAGGTCAGGAACCAACCCTGACCCCCCCAAACCTCCCTTTCCTCACCAGAGCCCTCCTCACTTCTTGAAAGCTCATTGCCATGGGTCCTCAGCTGCACAGTTGGTTGATCTCCCTTTCCTTTGCTTGGGCCTCTGAGAGGAGCATTCAGCCACTGGAACCTGAGAGAGGGTTGTCTGGGAGACCAGAATGGTGACTATGGTGATGGAGAAGGGCATTGTGGGTAGAGGGGACATTGGGGCAGAGGCTTGGGGAACAGGGGGATTTGGGGGCAGAATGTCCCATGCAGTATTTAAACTTGGGATCTGGACATTTGAGATCAAAGAGTCCAGACCCCCAACATCACACTGAGGCGTTTGTTCCCCTGTAGAGAAGCCATGGGAGGGACAGGGTCAGCTCTGGTGGCCAGAAGTATCTGGGAGCAGGAGGAGCTAGAAGCCGGGAGAGTAAGTGAGGTGGCCCAGGCACAAATTCCTCTGGGGGTGTCTGCCAGACACAGGCTAAGAGAACATTCCAGAGTCTGGCCACCAGGCTTGGGGGTGAGAGTGGCAATTATAATGGCAGGAATCATGGTTATGACAGCAGCTTCCCAACTCTGGGCCACCCAGACCATGATAGGCCCATGGCTTTCACGGCCCACCAACCGCCTCTGGTTTTTACTCCACCAGCCCACCTGCTACGTTTGTGGACGCATAACTCTTTTTTGGGGGGGGGGGTCCATCACGCATTTAGAACTAACTTCCAAAAATATAGAGGAGAAACAGGGCAAGCAACAGTCATTACCCATGGAGCTATATATGTATTTCCCCTAGAAGCAGTGATTCAGTATTTGATAATTCAGAGTCCCTGAATTATCAGCGTCCCTGGTGACTTTATACAACGTAACTACTGGGAATGATAAGAATCAGCTATAAAATTGTACGTCAGGGCACCAACCAGGAAATTCCAGAAGGCAAGACATTCTACAGGGCAACTGGCATGGTCTCTCCAACAAGTCCCCACCACAAAACAAAACAAACAAAGGCTAGTGGACTTTCTATATTTAAAAAACTCATAGGAGACATACGACCAGATTTGGTGGGTGATCCTGAACTGGGTTCTGCTTTGGATGAAGCTGCTGAAAGTGACTTCTTTTATGGCAGTGGTGGGAGGGGTGGGGGGATGGGGCGGGGGATTGAGGACACATGAAAGGAGAATGAGTATTAGATGAGATGAAAATGTTATTGACATGAAAAGGAGAATGTTAACTGAGAAACACAGGTTACAAAATTGCATGTCCGGTATGATCTCATTTTGGTAAAAAGTACGTCTATGAAAAAAAAGTGCATTGAAAAATCTGGAAGAATGCTGTGTGTCATTGTTGCAACAGAAAGCAGCAGGCACAGCTCCAAAGAGTTTAACTGGAGAGTTTCATGCAGGGACCATGTTCAGAGGTGGCAGGAGGGGACAGCCCCCGAGCTTAGCAAAAGCAGGGACCTGCTACCACCCTGTGGGGTTGAATTGTGTTCCCCAAAAGGTTGTTCAAGTCCTCACCCCTGGGACCTGTGAATGTGACTTTATTTGGAAATAAGGTCTTTACAGATGCAATGAAGTTAAGATGAAGTCATAACTGGCGCCCTTATAAGAAGAGGAGAGACCCGTCGAACGCCACATGACGATGGAGGCAGACGCCGGAGACACCAGTCTACAGGTCAAGGAACACCAAGTATTGCCAGTAACGCCATAAGCTAGGGGAGAGGCCTGGAACAGATCCTTCCTCATGGACTTCAGAAGGAACCAACCCTGCCGACACCTTGGTTTTGGACTTCTGGTCTCCAGAACCGTGAGTGAATAAATTTGTGGTATCTAAGCCACCCAGTTTGTGTTCATTTCTTATGGCAGCCCTACCCAACTAATACACAATTCTAGGGCGTCGAGGGGCAGGAGAGGGACCCATGTCCCCTGAGCCCCTGGAGACAGGGAGTCCGCGATGGGAACTACAGGAGGAGCCAGCACCGCATGTCCTTAGAGCTCTTGTTCCCCTTAAGGACTGACCCCAACTGGAATCCAGAGGGCAGGGGGCCAGGATAGAGCTGAAGACAGAGGTCCACCTTGAGGGCATTGTGCAGGACAGAGAAGGGCAGGAAGTGGATCAGAGGGGCGGGAGGGCCACGGGGGGAGAAACCGGGATGTTTTTCCGTATTTCTCTCTGTGGTGGGCTGAATAATGGCGCCCATGAGGCCCACATCCTAATCCCCAGAACCTGTGAACACATTCCCTCACCTGGCTAGAGGGCCTTTGCAGAGGTGATTACATTACAAATCTTGAGATGGGGAGTGTCTTAGTCCATTAAAGCTGCTTTAACAGAATACTAGACTCAGGGTTTATAAACAACAGAGCTGCGTTTCTCACAGTTCTGGAGGCTGGAAAACCAAGATCAAGACTCTGGCCAATTAGATGTGTGATGAGAGCCCGCTTCCTGGTTCATAGATGGCCAACTTCCCGCTATGTCCTCATGTGGCGGAAGTGGGGACGGGGCTCTCTGGGGTCCCTGTTATAAGGGCACTGATGCCATTCATGAAGACCCCATCCTCACGACCCAATCACCTCCCAAAGGCCCCACCTCCTAATATCATCACCTCATGGAGGGTTAGGATTTCAACCTATGGATTTTGGGGGACACACAGGTAGCAGGCTGAAGAGGCATCTTTATTTATTTAAAGAACATTACCCAGGAGCTAGCCTCCAAGATACCCTACTGAGTCTCACTTCCTGGTGTCCTGGCTGATAGCTTGACTGCAACCTCGTAAGACACCCTGAGCCAGAATCACCCAGCTAAGCCACTTCCCAATCCCTCACCCACAATAACTATGAGAGAGATTAAATGGTGACTGTCTTAAGCCACTAAGTTTTAGGGTAATTTGTTACACAGCAATAAACAATGACCACTATTTAGCAGTTACTCCTCAAACCCTGTTCTAAGTGCTGAATATATTAGAATGTGTTCAAGCCTCAAGACAACAGATTGTGCTCGTTCCCATTTTATGAATGAGGAAACTAAGCACAGAGAGGTGCAGTAATTTGCCCAAAGTCACACAGCGTGTAAATAGTGAAGTTAGGGTTGGAACCCAGCCTGTCCAACTCCAGGGTCTGTTTAGCCACTTGTGCATGCTGGTTTTGTGGGTGGCACCAGAGAAAGTGAAATCAAGAATCCCAAGAAAGCCTCAAAAATCCTCAACATCGGGGCAGCCGGGTGGCTCAGCTGGTTAGAGCGCGTGCTCTGAACAACAAGGTTGCCAGTTCCATTTCCATATGGGATGGTAGGCTACGCCCCCCTGCAACTAGATTGAAAATGGCGACTGGACTTGGAGCTGATGGGTCCTGGAAAAACACACTGTTCCCCAATAAAATGTATTTTTAAAAAAGATCCCCAACATTTAAGGGGTAAGAAACGGAAGAACAGATTGGGGTGGGGGAGGGATCAGAGAATGTGTGAGTCTAGAATGTGGGGTGGGGTGGTGGTTTCTCTCTCTTCCTCTGTGCCCAGGTTAAGGGCACTTGGGTTCAAACCCCAGTTTTGCCCGCCACTTACTGTTTTCCCTCAGTTAAATTACTTAACCCTTCTGTGCTTCGGTTTCCCCATATGCACCAATGGGGATGGTGATAGCTGTATCAACCCCTTCTGGGGTTGTGGTAAAGATTAAACAGGTTAGCCCACGGGTTAATCCGAGGTTGGCAAAGGCCCTGGGGGAGCCGGCTCCCGGGAGGCATGCTGGGACCTGCTCTTCTGGGGGTGCTGGGGAGAGGTAATGATCAGGTGAGGCTGTGGCACAGACGGCAGGATGAGCTCAGTGTCTGGCTGTGTGGACATGGCTGGGCTAGGGTTTCAGGGCCACCCCGCTGCTGGACCTCTCCTGCTCCTGCTGATGTTCCTGCCCCAGGCCCTGATGAAAGAAGGACCCCTGGTGTTCGTGGCTGTGGTGAGGTGTCCCCATCCCAGCCTGGCTTCTCATCTTCCCCAGGCCAGCCCTGACCCAGTCCCCTCCCCAGGTGTTCCGCCATGGCGACCGGGCCCCGCTGGCCTCCTACCCGAGAGACCCACACAAGGAGGCTGTCTCTACACTGTGGCCACGTGGCATGGGCCAGTTGACCTCGGTAAGAAGCTGGGGGTGGGTGCAAGGAGTGGGGTGCAGTGGGGAGATGTCTGCTGAGCCTGCTCTGTCCCCAGGAGGGGGTTCTCCAGCAGTTGGAGTTGGGCCGCTTCCTGAGGAGTCGTTATGAGGCCTTTCTGAGCCCCAAGTACCGGCGGGAGGAGGTACTGTCACTTTGACCTTCACCCAGCCTCCTGACCTTCAACCTCTGACCTCCACTGATTCCAATGCTCTCCTTCGGCCTCCACCTCTGGTCTTTGACCCCCATCAACCCGATTTGTACCCTATGTCTGATTTCTGACCCCAAATCATTGACTAACCTACACCTACCTCTGGGCCCATCTCAACCTGAGTAATATCTTGACCTCTGACCTCTGACACCAAAACTTGATTGATTTTGTCTTTGACCATCATTAAATCAACTTGCTATCCTGAATGCCAACCTTTGACCTCCCTCTACCCTTCATCAAATCTGACTTTCCTTTTCTATCTCCTCCTCTGTCTTCTGACATTACCCCATTAGAATCATTCCTCCTGACCTCTGACCTCTGATTCTTGATAGACATGTACTGAACTCTGACCCCATGTTTTCCAACTGCCCTCCTAATTTTGGCCTCCAGCTTTTAGCCACCAGCCATTCCGATCTCTTCTGACTTTCATTGACTCAGCTGACCCCCTTAATCCTACATGCATACCCAACATCTGACCTCCAAGCCGACTTCCTGACATTGACCTCTGACCCTTGATCCCACCTTCCAACACAACCAGAAACTCAAACTTCCCTGAGTTTTGACTCCCAACCCCTGACCTTTGACCCCAAAATGAACCCAAAGCTTTTGGTTTGCCACTGCAGCCGACCTCTGACCCTGACTGTGGTCCTCTGGTAACTGTGGTCTCCTTGTCTGTCCTCTCCCCACCCCAGGTGTATGTTCGCAGCACAGACTTTGACCGGACACTGGAAAGCGCTCAGGCCAACCTGGCGGGGCTGTTCCCCGAGGCGGCTCCGGGGCGCCCTGAGGCTGCCTGGAGGCCCATCCCTGTGCACACAGTGCCTGTCACTGAGGACAAGGTCAGGGGGCCAGACAGGGCCGATGGGAGAGGGACGGAGAGAGGCAGAAACCCTGAGGAGAGGGCTGGAGGCTCGGAGAGGCAGTGCTGGGCCTGGCTGGGTGGCTCCAGGAGCCTGAGCCAGCTTGGAGCAGCAAGGCCTTCTGGGGGGGCAGGGCTGTGCAGATGGGGGAGCCACCAGCCCCACGCTGCGCAGCCAGATCTGGGAGAGACAGGGCCCCACAGCCCTGATTCCCCAGTCCCCCGTCACACGGCTGTCTTCTCTGAGCTTCATTTTCCCCCAGCTGCTGAGGTTCCCCACACGCAGTTGTCCTCGATACCATGAGCTGCTGCGCGAGGCCACTGAGGCTGCCGAGTACCAGACAGCCCTGGAGGGCTGGACGGTGAGCAGGGCAGGGGGGCCGAGGCTGGTGGGACTGGGCTGGCGGGGCAGGGTGTGGAGATCCCCAGACTCACCCCTCCCCGTGCATCCAGGACTTCCTGACTCACCTGGAGAACTTCACCGGGCTGTCACTGGTCGGGGAGCCGCTCCGCAGGGCGTGGAAGGTTCTGGACACGCTGGTGTGCCAGGCGAGGCCCCGCCCCACCCACCCAGCCGAGTGCTCAAACCCCAGCATTGCTGCTCACTACCAGTGTTCCCTCCGGTGTCACTTAACAATTAGTGCCTCAGTTTCCCATGTGCACAAAGGGTTGGTGACAGCAATGTCACCACCACCTGCGGTTGCTGTGAATACCGAAATAGGTTCATCCACACGATGCACTTACAACAGCACCTGGCATGTGGGTTCGAGGCTGTGTTTGCGATTCCTTTCCCGAGGATCCGTTATCTGAAAAGCACCGGAAACCAAAATTTGGGCAGCTGGGGCTGACCTGAAATGAAAACGGTGGTTTTCATAGTCCTTGCTTCCCCTACATCATGGGAATGTTCTTAATTGCACAGTGGGACTAGCAATGTGTGTGATTTAGGGGCTGCCCTAGACCCCACTGGATGTTAGGAGGTATATGGTCTTGGAGCTATTCAACCTTTCTAAAATCCAAAACATCTAAATTCTGAAACCCCTCTGGCCCCGAGGGTTTCAGATAAAGGCATCTGGACTGTGAGGTGATGGTCATTACTACTGTTAATTAATAATTGCTATTGCCCACACCATAACTTCCTGATCAGACTCAGCCCATGAGGGGTTCAGATGAGAGGGAGAGGGAGAGACTGCAGGTAATGGGGCCAGCACAGACATGGGGATGGGGGGTGGTGGCGGGAGGGGAGCACGAAGAGCTCAGGACATCCCAGTCACTTTGTCCTCTCTCCCTGTCTCTCCCAGCGAGCCCACGGTCTTCCCCTCCCATCCTGGGCCTCCCCGGATGTCCTGCAGACGCTAGCCCAGATCTCGGCTTTGGATATTGGGGCCCATGTAGGCCCACCCCGGGCAGCAGAGAAGGCCCAGCTGACAGGGGGTGAGGTGTGGGGTTGGGAGGCGGGGAAGCCGAGGCGCCATTCTCTGGGGGTCCTCAGCGTCCTGCTCTTGCCCTCTCAGGGATCCTGCTGGATGCCATCCTTGCCAACTTCTCTCGGGTCCAGCGCCTGGGGCTGCCCCTGAAGATGGTTATGTACTCGGCTGTGAGTCTTTGGGAAGGGAGGCTGTGAGTGCCACAGGGGCACAGAGATGAGGGGGGTGGCGGTCTGGGTGAGGAAGAGCCAGTGGTCTCAATGGAACCTCAGCCCACTGCCTTGGGTAACGCCTATCTCCAAACCAGGCTCTTGGACCATACTCTTATCACTAGTGGTACTGAGTCTGGAAGGAGGGGAGAGATGGTGTTAGGAGAGAAAGAATTTAGCTCTTCTAGAAAGACTGGCTATTTAACTGAGCTGTCCAATCATATTTTGCATCTATTTGCCCAAGCTTTGTTAAATGATTATCTGTAACTGATGTAACCAGGGTGAGCAGATGTGGGGGGGGTGTGTCTAAGGGGCCTGGGGCACATGTGGGAGGCAACTGGGTGCCCAAGTCTAGAGTTCAGGGGAAAGAGGACATCAGCAGAGGAGCCTGTCTCAGTCCCGGATTCGCCTGCAGCACGACAGCACTCTGCTGGCCCTCCAGGGGGCCCTGGGTCTCTATGATGGGCACACCCCACCGTATGCTGCCTGCCTTGGCTTCGAGTTCCGGAAGCGCCTTGGGGACCCGGAGGAAGATGCAGGGTGAGGAGCGGGTGGCACCGGGAATGGGCTGGACAGAACTCGCAAGAGGCGAGATGAGGTGGCTGGCAGAGGGCACGACCCAGGCACTGGCCTGGGGAAATTGCCTGGGACAGCATTAGGAGGTTGACAGGAAGGGGTCAGGAGGCCAGTTCCTCCTTTCAGCTGCTCTTCTAAGGTCAGTGTCAGAGGAGGCGAGGAGAGCACCTGGGTGCCACCGCCTCCGCTCTCCCTACAGGAATGTCACCATCTCCCTCTTCTACCGCAATGACTCCGCTGGTCTGCCCCTGAGCCTAAGTCTCCCTGGGTGCCCAGCCCCCTGCCCACTAGGCCGCTTCCACCAGCTGACCGCCCAGGCCCGGCCTCCGGTTCATGGGGTCCCCTGCCATGGCTCCCATGAGCCTGCCACGCCTGCAGGTGAGGCCCCTGGTGTTGGAGTGGGAGTGTGTGGGGGGGTCCAAAGTCCTGAGTCTCACCTCCTATATTGTCCCCACAGCCACCGTGGTGCCCCTGTTGGCTGGGGCTGTGGCCTTGCTGGTGGCGCTCAGCGTGGGGCTGGGCCTGCTGGCCTGGAGACCTGGCTGCCTGCGGGCCTGGGGAGACCCGGTGTGAAACAGGAAATGGGGCACTCCTCTCCCACTGCTGACCCTGGATCCCAACATGTCTGCTCACCCGCTGCACTGGCTTCCGTGACTCACTGTGTGCCTGTGCGCGTGGGAAACGCGGGAGAATCCAGGGTCCAAAAGCTGCAAGTGGTGTGTGCACGTGTTTGTACATGGGCCTGTGTGTATATGTGGTTCTAGTGTAGACATTGGTGTTTCTGCACTTACACGTGCAGTCCCCATGTATTGGTACCTATGCCCATCTACACATGACAGGTTCCTGTGCACACGTGTGCCTCTATGTGTGGGGGATGTGTATGGGCGTATTTAGCATGTTTCTCAGCATGCATGGGAACACGTGGTGAGGACACATGGGGAGCTCTATTTGCAGGTACACCACTTTGCAGCATGTGTGCACGTGATCTGCAACAAAGCTGCACCTGCTTGGTGAGCCCTTCTGTGGGTCACGCACTATTCAGACTCCATGCCCTACAGATGAGGCACCTTTAATCCTCTCCACTGGGGGGGGGGGGCGGGGGAACGGACGATGATGACGACGAGGGGAGAGAAGGGAGAGGTGGAGGCAGGGGTCAGGTCTATTTTGTAGAGGGAATTCAAAGCCTGGCTCAAAGGCTGGTCAGTAATAATCTGGAGGCTGTGTGGCTCTGGGCAAGTGACTGGCCTCTCTGTGCTCCCATCTCATTTGACACAACCAAGGCTCAAATTCATCAGACCTCCCTACCCTTGAAATTAACCTCCTGGGACCAGCAGAGAAGGTGCGCCTGGTACCATTCTCTCAGGGTTGCACCTAATACAGCACATACTACTGGCTGTCATGCAGCCAATTGAGTTATATCACATATAAAATTCAGGTCCCACTTGCATGACCACATTTCAAGCACTCATCAGGCACACATGGCTGGCATACTGGACAGTGCATAAAGCTACTGCACACCCAATAAAACAGCAGACTCTGGGGCACCAGGTGTGGGCCAGGCAAGGTTCTGGGCCAATACTTAGCTCCTGCACTCAACTCAACCCAGGAGGGAAGGCTCCACCCAGTAAATGTGATCACCCCAGATAAGAACACTGGTGGGGGAGCCTGGTGTGTAGTGGGTGCTATTAGCTAGCCACTTGGTGCCCATTAGACGGGGTAGAGGATCAGAGGTGAAGGGGGTTGTAGCCATTAGGATCCCCCAAATTTCCCCTGGGGGAAGTGGGTAGGAGACACTAGCCCTTGTCCTCACACCCAGAGAAGCTAGGACACCCCCTCCTCCACCTAGGGCCATCAGCACAGCCTCCCATCCACTCACTTCCCAGCATTGTGGGGCAGGGGGTTGTACCCTGGCCCACAAGGTAGCCTCTTGTCAGGAGCACCCATCCCTGGGGAGCCCCCCAGACCTGCCCTATCCCTCCCACCATTGCCCCTGGAGGTACTGGTGGTCACATCTAGTGGACAATGGCCATGCCCCGGAACACTCTCCGTGTACTTCTTGGTCCAGGGAGAACACCATTTCTGGCTTAGAGATCCAGGGAGGGCCCAAGTTCTAACAGGCCCCCCTTTCCTGCTGCTGAGTGGCTCCCACAGGCTGACAAGAGCTTCCCTGGGGTTTCTATGCAAGTCTCCTGCCCTGAGCCCTGGGAGGGTTCTGGGTTCAGCTCTGTCCTGGGACCTTGCCAAATACCAGTCTATACGCAGTGATGCATGTGCTATTTCATGGGCACCCACGTGCCCAGTGCTGGCTGCCACTAGCCTCATGAAGCTGTGATGTTCGGCCCCAACACCTTTTATCCAGATATGACAGACACTGGCCAGAGGCCACACATGCGGCTAGAGAAACTAGACAGAATTGGCCACCCCTTCCCCAGGTGAACAAACAGAGAAGTCCTGCTTTAAAAGAGAAAGATATTGCAAAATGAAGTCTTAACAGAAAAGCCACGACAAGAGCATCCCTAAAACAAAAGCGCTGTTATCTGCTTAAAGTATTAAGTAAAAACATTGCATTTTTAAAAAAACCTTAAGAAAAAGGGCACAAACTTCAAGATGCCTTCATGTTGTTGGCTGTGGGGTTTCTGCACTTGGATTGTAGTGTAGGGACCTGTAGTGCTTTGGAGACCCGTGGGTGGGTGCCCCCTCAACCATGCCAATGGGGCTGAAATGTAACAGACTGAAACGGTAACAGGCTGTGTGCTTGGGGGGGGGGATCTCTAAGGAGCTGCCATGTACCCAGCTAGCTCACTCCCCTCCGCCAGCTGTGGTGGGTGACGCCCATGGGGTGGGGCCTGCCCACAGGAGGCTCCAGAGCAGAAGAGCAGTGCTTCAGCCCTCCTGGGGAGGCTCAGGGGATACTGGCAAGGCTCTGCATCTCCACTCCAAGGGGCCAGATGCCCTGGAATCTAGCCTCCTCCCGGCTCCTAGTCGTGGTGCATGGGCGGCTCCTCCCCACAGGCCTGGTCAGAGTAGGGGGGTGGCGGGGGCTGCTCCTCCCCCAGCATGTAGGCTGGGTGGCTGCGGCTGCGCTTGGCCTCTCTGATGTACAGCTCCAGAAGGACCTTGGTGGGCTGCTTGTCCACCCTCTCCTTGGGCACCCCGTGGCTCAGGAGCCAGCCCATGAGGTCCTTGCGCGTTGGATTGGGCCCCAGCATGAGCTTGGCGCGGCCGGGCTGGCTGTGGCGCCAGAACAGGCCCACATCGGCGATGGTCTGAATCTCTAGCACCGCCTCCAGCACCGTCATGCCCTTGACCAGCAGGCTGGCCAACGACAGCCGCAGCTCGGAGGGCGCAGCCGTCAGCAGGCGCCGCTGCAGGCCCTGTGTGAATGGCATGTCCTCTGGTGCAGGCAAGGGCGCCTGCTCTGGCACGGGGGGCGAGGCCGGCTCGCGGTAGATCCACTCGAGCATGCCCAGCTCGCGTACCAGCCGGATGCCCTCCTCCATGTTGGTCCAAGGCCGGAAAGGCAGCTCGGTGGCCTCGAAGTACACGAAGGACTCCCAGCGCTGGCGCCAGGCCAGCAGCAGCCAGCTGAGCAGCGTCTTGCAGCCGCCCCGCAGGCCCTTGCAGTGGTAGTTAAAGATGGCGTCGCCGGTCAGATCGCCCAGCAGCGCCAGCTCGCCGGAATTCAGGGCCAGGGCCGAGCCCCCCTGGTCATATACCCGCAGGATCCAGGTGATCATGAGCTCGTTGGGGTTCTGCTTGAAGCGCCGCGAGATGGCCAGGAGCTCAGTATATGTGTAGTAGCGGTCCCCCCGCCCCATCGGGGTGAGCGCCAGCGCTCTCTCGGCCATGGTAACCGCTGCCCTGGCAGGGAACAGGAAGAAGCCTGAGGGGCGCTGCTCCAGCAGCTACTGGGAAGGACAGAGGTAGCAGGTGGGGGAAACAGCTGCATGACCCCAGCACCTCCCCACAGTCGGGGCCCCTCAGACCCCTGGGTGTCAAAGGTCCCGGGGGGCACCGTGTCCTCATGGGAGATCAGAGCCCAGTGCTGGACATCATGGGGGCCCCAAGTACTGGGCTGTTGGAAAAGTCTTGATGCATTTTTGCAACAAAAAACAGAAAAAGTATGTCATGACTTTTCTGACAACCCAATACATCCCTTTCAGAACCCCTGACAAGGATGTCTCACTGCAACTCCCCCAGCCCCTCCTTTCTCAACCTCCCCTCACTTCCCCACCCCACTCCACAGGGTTACTGTGTAGGCTCAGCCTGCGCTCAGCATCTGCCTTTACATATCACCATAACCTACACATTCCGTGACTATAAACGAGGGCGCCTCTTCTGTTCTTACCAAGGGATCAGGCTGTTGACTCCTGGAGGAACCACCTGCAGACAGGAAGGGGAAGGGAATGTCAGTGGGATGCAGGGCAACCACAGCGCCCCCATCCATCCCTCTCCAGAGCCAGGGCCCCTCAGACCCCCAGGTGTCAAAGGTCCCAGGGGGCACCATGTCCTCAAGGGAGGTCAGAGCCCAGTGCTGAACATCATGGGGGCCCTGGTTCCCTTGCCCGCCTCCTTACTCAGGTACTAGAGCCACTTGCCTACAGTCCTAAGCGGGGTGACACAGAGAACTCAAAATCCAGGCAGGAAAAATGACTAGTCCTAAGCCCCTGAGCTGCCAAGAGGCAAGCTCCCACCGCCTGCCTTCTGACACATCACCGCCCCAGCTTCCCCTCAGCGAGTTGTCCCTCCGTGTCACTTTTTATATGACCTGCAGCAACTGACCTAAGCCCCCACACCCGAAAATCAGAACAGATTCACCAGGCAGACAGGCTGTTAACAGAATCCAATGAGACAAGATAAAGGTCCCCCCACTTCAGCTCAGCTCTGAGGCATGCCCTGATGAGCACAGCCTGCATCTGCTCTGCAGGCACCCCAGGCCCACTCTCCCCACCCAACTCTCCAAAGCCTCCAGTTCTGCCCGAGATCTGGGGTCCAACTGCCAGGGCACGAGACCTGTGGCACTCCTCCTTTTCTGTCATCTAGGGAGGCGGCCGCACCAGAATCTTCCGTGAACCAGGGAAAGGTCATATGCCTGTCATCGGACCGGGGAGGATTTGGCACATTAATCCTCAAAGTACTTAAATGCGACAAGCATTTCCTAGTTGAGCTAGGAAACAAGAGGAAACCCTTAAATCGAACTATATAAATAAAATTTAAGAATTCAGTTCCCAGTTGCATTCGCCAGATTTCAAGTACTTGAGAGCCACAAGTGGCCAGTGGCTACCGGATTGGACAATGCAGAATAGACCATTTCCATCTTGGCAGTTCTGTTGGACCTGGCTGCCTTAGAAATCAAGAGTTCTGTGGCCCTTGGGACTTCCCTAGCCTGCCGTCGACTTTCTGTCCTGTTCTCGCCACGCTCACATAGACTTGCCCAACTGGTACCTTCCCTCCCAGGTGTCAATGAATGTGCAGAGCCCTGCAGAAGTAACCCTGGGTGAAGAGCATCAGCCCCTCAGAAAGGCTCAGATGATCTGAAACCTCAGCTCAACCTTTACAGAAAGCAGCTTCTCCCTAAAGGGCTTCTCAGCAGGAGCAGGAACCCCAGAGAACACCCTTTCTATGTTACCGTAGCCACTGTTCTCTGTTCCTGACATCCAAGGAACAGAGAAAAACCCTCCTAGAGCTGGATAACATGTACCCAAGCCCATTTTCTGATTTAGGTCTTTGGAACACTTGTGAAACATTCTCCAGACACAATGTGTCATTTTAACAAGGGCTACTGTGTCACTGAAGGGTAGCTTTCATAACTGTTATCAGTTTATATGCACATGATTCATGAGAAGCTGTCTCAGCTTTGCTGAACGATAGTGTATCCAGTCTATGAAATCTGCAGGGACCGTGATAATGCTGCCAGCTATTCTCTTTTCTTCTGAGTTTGAGTATTAGACTTCTGATTAGTCCTTTCCCCTGAAACCCAAATAGATATATATTTCTTCCTCTCACAGCCCGTGCATTCCATTTTCGTCAACCCTTCCTTCCATCTGAAAGCAGGAAACAGCATGCCTCCGACCCAACTGTGCAGGACTCCAACTCACCTGCTCCTAACGTGTTGTGCCTCCTCTATAGACACAAAAACTGAGGCTCAGGAGTGCAACCACCAGACTGACACCTCCAAGCCCACAAAGCGCAGAGCTGGGATTTGTAGCTAAACCCCAAGTGCACTGTTGGCATATAAATTAGGTCCCAGGGATATGTGATGTGACATCACCCAAAATGTGGGTGAGAGATTTTAGACCTGGATGGGTCAGGGAGTGGGAGACAAAGTTCTTACCAAGATGGGCTGGCGGTGGGTGGCCCCTTGGCTTGAAGAGACACCTATAACACAGGAAAGACTTGGTGAGGGTGGGTGAAGAAACAGTCTGGGGGTCCAGAGAACATCAAACCAGGACCCCTCAGAACCCCAGGTATCAAAGGTCCTGGGGAGCACTGTGTCCTCAGGGTTGATCGGAGCCCAGTGCTGGACATCATGGGAGCCCCAGTCCCTCTGCAATCAGGTCCCAAGGCCACTCACCCTCAGGAACAGAGGCCAAGCTAACAGCACTGAGAGACTGGAAAATATTACAGTGACACAGCAGCATTGTTATTAAGAAGAAAATGTTATTTTAGGAACATAAGCAGTAACTATTTTGGATGAAATAAGAAATTGACTTTCAAAACACTTAAGTGCGAAGAAAGCAAACAAGGTGAAATGCTACAACTGTTAAGCTTATGCCTATTTCCTGTATGTTTGAAGATTTCAATAATAAAAAGTAACAAAGGGCATGAAAGAAATACATGGGGCAATGATG